GGCTGAGGTCCCCAGCCTGTACATGCTCCGTGTTCAGAACTCCCACAGCAGCCATCAGGGAGGCCGCCTCACCTCACCACTTCTGCAGTAGGTGTACCAGCTGGTACACTTAAAACGCTAGGCTTACGTTCACCTCAACAACATTAACAGCAATAAGCAGCAAAAAGAGAAAACCACATTCTTAATTTGCAGTTCGCTGTAATTCTGAGAAAAAGGACTCAAAACATTAATTCAAGCTGCAGCACCAGTGATGTGCAATTGCATCATGTCACTGAAGTATTTACCCCTGAATATGTTCTGTAAACTGGAGCTTTAATAAATATTTTAAGTCTCTCTCATTTCCTTTTGCTAGTTTCACCTTTCTCTCCCCCTTCCCCCTTGCTTCAATAAGATGTCAACTTCCCTTTGACTTTTGAAAGTACTATAAATTCCTTCTCAGCATAGCAAATGGAGTATAGAACACGTTGCTTTAGTTAAAAAAAAGAAAAAAAAAACTCTAGGAAAAACTGGAACAACTGCAAAGGCATCCTGGCAAGGCCCTACTTCCCAGGGTCACAGAATTTTCCTTTTTCTAAATATAAACACACAAAGCCCTACTAAACCAGTTTTTGACAGATGTGAACCACGCTCAAGGTAAAAAGTTTGAATCATTACGGAGAGTATGTTCCTAATCAGACTTTCAAAAACGTCAAGTTTGTCACAGCAAGGATAACGCGTAAGCTATTTAGCAATGTGGAAATACATTACTAAATAGCTTTACCAGAAAAAAAGTAATTAAAGCTAATTTATTTCTGGAAATATCTACATCTTTACGTATTTAAGGATTGTATTTACAGGACATATTATCCTATATGTTGAGAATGAAAACTAGATACCCTTTTCTGTTTCTTATTGCAACACAATACTTACAGTATCTGCAGACTTTGAATTCCTCTCTTCTAAAGGAAGTTCTATCAGAAAACCTGCACGGTTCAGTGCAGATTTATCAGTATAATAAACACAGCCCAGGGGCGTTTTAAAAATGCTAAAACATATTAAGACTAAAACAAAATAGCAGTAGTTATAGCTACCACAGTTATAGAAATACCTGTTTTTTTGCGAACATGTACCGCAGTGACAACAGTAGACAACATTCAGAATTCTTCTTCTTTATGCTGGTTGGGGGTTGAAAGTTTAAAAAAAAAAAAAAAAAGCTCTACCAGTGCATACCCAGTGAATTTGCTGGCAAAGACTGCACTTGGACATCTTCATTTTTTTAAGACTGAATTACCTCTCTTAGTGATCGATATAAGCCAGGTAAGCTTCCAATACTGACTCTTACTGTGGAATATGGCCCTCAAATCATGCAATTCCACAGCAATCAGCAGCAGTTGGACGCATATAACTGATGCCTAGATTTGTTCTAAGTAGGCATGTGTTATATTTTGACAGAATTTGTTAGATTTTCATAATTGAACTTGTACTATGACTCTAGTGATGGTGCTTGACCCTTCCGGCCTATTGGGGTGGGGGGCGAGTTAAGGCATCCGGGTACGTCTATGTTGTACAAAGCACTGCTGCACAGCTCCCTCAGAACGATGATCCGCTCAGACTGATTTCCCTTACGGCACAAGGTTTAGAATTAGTGTGGCATGTCCCTCCAGCTCTGTACCAAAGGACAGACACGATGCACAGAAGTGGAGAACTGGATGGGCAAGAGAAAGTAGATGTGCAACATACCATAGCATATCATTCCAGAGTACACTGCACCAATTGTCTTCTACACAGAGATCATACTTCCAGTTAAACAAAATACAGACATACACACACTCGCACAAAGAAATGTGAAAAGGTACAAATAACTGATATTTGATGGTAAAATTATTCTCAGCACTTTTTCTGAAGCGTTAGTGTTTACTACAGCTCGTCCAAAGAGCTAAGGGATTCTTCACTTGACTGCTCTAAGAGCTCCCTCTGCTGTTACACAGAACTACCAGAAAATATGATCCATTAACACTGCATCTTTTTCATCTTCAAGTGGCAAATTTTCAAATACTCCATCCTGTGAGGTGATAATTGAGATGATTTCCAGAGATTACTTTTCATGTTTATTTTCTGCACATGTATCTGCAATCTTCTTCCAGCCTTCTGCAGTACAGACTGTATCGTTCTGTATCATTTAGAAACATCTGTTCCAATGTATCTGAGAAAGGAAAAAGAACATAAAAAGATCAAGCTTTTGGCCTGATCAGCTTTTTTTTTTCTTTTCTTTCTTTTTTTTTTTTTTTCTTTTTTTTACTATTCATATTAAGCACAGTGCACAAATCACTGTTATTCTAGCTAGACTCCAAAATCCTAAGATTAAGGACTAAGAGAGAGAGAGAAAGAAAAAAAAAAAAGATCAAATTAAAGACCTGTAAGAAAAACAGCATTTCTTTTCCTTAAAAAGATTAAAGGCCAAAATCTCTGAGAACCTTCTGAAACCCGTAAGAGCAATAGAATGACAGGTGAGTAGCAGACACTGAAGTTAAGGGCAGCTTACTGAAGCAAGACACGATAAACACAACAGATGCAAATAACAATCACTGGGTAAAGAAAACCTAATTTTCAGAACTACTAGCCAAGAAAAATGATTAAATCTAAAGATATATCCAGGCAGATACTTATTAGTCTGTCTGCAGAGTAGTTTCAGGACTCGGTACTTGGTGCCCACATAGTTTGTTGCAGCTATCTGCCTTTGGCTTGAGTTTATGCTCCCCAGAGAGCTTCTGTCTCTGCATCTGGCAGCACAAGAGTCCCTCTGAGGACTTACAACCCTTGCAACAAAATAGAACTGTTGTTATTTTTTGTGTCCTAAGCAACATGTGCTGAGGTTGCAGGGTGGCCAAGAGTCAGCCCACAGAGGCTCTACTAGAAGCAAGCAAATTGCCTGCGTAGCTGTTTTGGCAGTGTTGCCCCCGGGAGTGCTCTGCGCAACAGCAGACTCAATCTGTGGGGAAGAGCAAGCAGGAGGGACCCTGACATTTGATGCAAGTAACCCTCATCTCTGCGGTAATTCCAAAAGACGTGAAAATGCAAGATATGGCTCACTGTGAAGGAAAAGCTGTTATTCAGATTCCACTACGAGCCAGGAGCACCACATCCAAAGTAATTTATAGGCTGAACTGGGATCTGAATTAAAATTTCTAATGTAGGAAATGACTGTCATCTCTTATTTACTTTTTGTCATTTGATATCAAGACATTTTGTTATTTCCCAGTTGGACTGAGAAATGTGGTATTTTTAAAACTTCACAACTAAGGTTTGTAATTAACATTTTGCTGTCCTTACTTTTCTTGCTCGTTTCCTCCATGGCTGAAAGTCATGCTTTTTGTGATCAGCTGAAGTAAGAGAGAGTACAGTAGATCCCACAGACGAAAGTGGTGGGTTTCTAAACCCACCACTCGACTGAGACAACAATAATTCAGTGGTACGACCGTTTTCCAGCAGAAACAAGTAATCGTCTAAAAAAATCAGACTCTAAGATTATGTATTTGCATATGGTCACCTCTCCCCTTCCTCACCGTAAATGAGCACAACACTCTGTACTCTGCTCTCCCCAAACACAGAGCAAAAGCTAGTGTGAGATCAAAATCTAATCTTCTTCTACTGAGAAAAAAAAAAAAAATCTGTAATTATTTTAGAAATCCCATAAAATGAGGAAATTAACAAACACCAGAAGAGAATTAAACACCAATAAACCTCCCTTAAAATTATTCGAAATACAGTCAGGAAATAAAAGAATAGAAAACTGTGACTTAACTGAACAGCAGTCTAAACAAGAATACACGTGGAAGAAATACAAATACAGTCAGAAGGCAGCTAAGTATAACGGAACACAGGAACAAACACAGGGCTAAATTGATGTGGGACTGAACTGCAATGCATCCACAAAAAAAGGCTCTTTTTGCAATTAGTCTGCTTACACAGAGACAGCACATCCCAGAGCAACGAAGGAACAAGTTCCCTCTTCAAAGGACTCCCCCTTTCCAGGAGCACCGCAAACCATAACCAAACCTGTACTCTGACAAAGTTCATGAATTAATGCTTTATCGCAAGAGGGAGAGAACTCAAGGGTGGAAACCTTGGAAATAAACAGCGTTCCTTAATCTTTTAAATGATCTTGAAATTGCTGGCTTGCTACAGTTCAGCTATGACAAACGTGCTCAACTTTAAATGTGATTCTTCTGGAGAACCAAACCAAAAACGTAATATATTGATGTCAAAAGAAATGGATTTTAATGGTATTTCACAGACCTAAGTTGCACCACAGGAAATAAAAATAGGGAATGCTTTCATATCAAATGCCATGTGTCAGTGTTTATGCTGTTTGGTTGAGAGCCCATGTGGAAACAAAGGCCAAAAATTCCTAGCAGGGCTCAAATGCTATAATAATCTGCTTTACTGTCATCTTTCCTGAGATGTGCAACTTCTGCAGTCTCTTCACCTTGTTTAGTTGTTTGAACTTAAGTAAGATTAATGTAATGCTATCAGTATCTGCAGACTTTGCACTAATATAACATCCTGAAGAGCTCATTTGACACACTAATGTGCCTTTCTCCCTTTCAATAATGATGTGATTAATGAAGTCAGGATCGCATTAGAGAGGGCGAAATTAACCTTTGGTTTTGGAAACGTAGGCTCTGAGAATCCCTTTAAGTCGCCTCCTCCTCCTGGGGTTGTTGGTAAATCATTGTGGAGGTTTTCAAGCACGCTTATCAGAAGAAATCTCTTATTTCATATGAGCTATGTAGCTTCCATCCTTGAAAACATGCATGTATTGACATTATAATAAAATACCAAGGGATATTTTAATGGGATTGTTAAATTTAATGACAGGAAAGCGTACATCTGTATTCACTTCAAATGCCTTCTATACAAACGTGGTCCGAAATGTTCCCGTTAAACTTGAAATAAATATATGGTGGAACGCTCCTGAAAGACAATATGAGTGCCGTATTATTTACGTAAAGAAAAATGCCGCAGTTGCTGAATATAATCCACTGCTCCATAAACTTCGCCCTGCTTACACAGGCACAAAGCAACTTTCTTGTGCACACCAGACTGATCATACACAATCTGAGCCAAAGCCAGGCATTTTGACAAGTTGCTTGGTTCCACTTTCCCATAGTCATAAATCACACCTCCTAACGCCTCGGAAAAAGTCAGCCTGAAGAAGACAACGCAATACGATAAACCTGTATTACTAATATGCTTCATGAGTTTGGAATATTTCAGAATGAGCTCACATATAGGTGCGTTATGTATATGGGTGTATATTTGCATATGCAAGTATTAGACAGCACCTCTTCACCTCGTCTCACTTCCATCCCTCTTACAGCTCTAACTCTATTTTTGAGATAGTCTCTTCCTTCCCATGATGTCTCAGCAGAGAAAGCTCTGACGGGACACTTCTTTCAGTGCTTACCTCAGTGCCAGCCCACAGCAGCCAGGAGGAACAACTGCAGCCTTTCAGTATTGCTGGGCAAAGGAGATTCAGGGAACTAAGCTGCTACTTGCTAACAACGCATCTAATGATATTGTATGATTCCCAAGGTGGCCGTAATGCATGGTTCGAGAAACGTTGTTTCAATGTGATGATGTAACTAGTTAGGTCTAATTACTTTAAGAATTATGATGATTTCCACATGCTGAGAGAGCATGCTGTAATGGTGCTTACACGTGAGTAGGACAGGATATGGGTTAGGACTGAAACAAAGAAGGGATATTTAGATTCTGACACAAGATGGTTTAGAATCTGAACTCGAAACCAAAATACGGGCCAATGTTTGAGAATACTGTTGCTCTTTTCAGATTGTTTTCAGCAGACAGGCAACAATTATAACTAATCCAATACCAGACTGTTCTGCTAGGATTTTCACCATTTCCAAACAAATCTACACTGTATCAGGAAAACATCTCTCTGACAGCTTCTTCAAAAACAAAAACGTAGAGACAGAGCCAGTTCTAAAAATTCAAATATGATTGCACCCTATTCCTGTAAATGAAATATATAGGCCAAGAGCTGTTATAGGTTCTACACTTTAAAAATATTTTCAGTACAACTGTGTTTGAAACTGTTGATCTGGCACTGACAACAATAATAAAATGAAAGAAATTAGTCTTCCACTAATTACAAGTTTTCCATCCGGAGGAGGGTGTGAAAAATCTTATTTTTGTATAGTTTATAACTGCAATGCAAGAGAAAAGAAGCTTGAGCAAAACTGGAGTCTGCAATGCTGTAACAAAGGCTGACAGCAACCAAACAGAATGTATTTTGCAGAGGTAGTTGTTGGTATTGCTCATTTGGTCTATGCTCATAGTGAATTTAAGATTTAATAACAGAATCAAAAGAGAAATCCATTAACGTATTTCTGGTTGTGTTTTGTTTGACGGGTTTTACTTTAAAGGAAAGGGAGAAAAGGCAAAGCCTCATGAGCTGGAGAGGAAAGGGCGATGACACAACCCCCTTGTTTATCCCCGTGCGGAAGAACCACCTGCCTTTGCTGTGTAACCCAGTGCATTGCTGTATTTAATCGTTGTTCAGACAATGCACGCTGGACTGCCTCCAGAGTTGTGGCTGAATTTGCATGCCATCCAGCCACAGTACCTGAGTTTACAAGTCCCAAAATACTTCAGTAAAGGGATATTTCTTCCTTTCAGAAAACAAGCAGCTAGAGAGAGAGAGAGAAAAGTCATTGGCTGAACACTCAAAAAAGTCGTTTTCACCATTGAAGACTCCTTGGGTTTTAATCTTTGTTTGCAGATATCCATTAAAACCTTTGACAACGTTCTTACTAAATCTGTTGTGAGGGTGAGTCATCTCAGGCGCTATGTTAATTGCTCAAAGCTGAAGGCAGAGGGTTCATGACAATACTTTACCATTGATAGGTAATGGAAAAATCTCAGAGACGTGTGCATCTTTAAACCGCTTTTCCTGAGAGAGTAATTTTGGGAAGGCCTACCTATCTCTTTGGAAATACAACACCTTCTGTTAGGGCTACAAAAAGCGGTCTGTAAACAATCAGAACATGACATCAGCTCTGTAGTTATCAATAAAGATTCGTTTAACCTAGAGTGCCCTTGTTTTTGCCATTTTATTATTACTGCTTATTATTTCTATTGCAACAGAGCAAATTAGGGTCACGTCCCCTTCTACAGAGACAGAGGCTGTGATCCAAAGCACAATGTAACGTTTCAATCCCGCAAAAATGTAATGTGCTTGCCTACTTTCAGGGTTATGGTAACACACCTTACAGGTGTGGTGCCACTGAAATCAGTTAAGATTCTCACGTACTTGAAGCTGAGTGCTTAAGTGCATTTCTGTGAGATCATAACTTGCCATAGACTCATAATCTGATCTGTAATTCAGATCTCAAATATTAGCTTATCAAATTCTTCTGTTATTGCCTTTGAACTTGAACAACAGCCGATAAAACATACACAGGAAAACACGCTGATCTTGCAAAGTTTAGCAATGCCCCTGCAGCTCGTTCCACAGGAAGAACAAAATACTCAGTGGCTTCAGTCTCTGACACCACCAATATCACTGTATTTTACATTTCCAAATGCAAACCAAAACACAGACAAGAAGACTAAACTATAAAGGACAACTTTGCATTCATCTGGGGTATTTAAAAACTCTGATTAGTTTTTACAAACCTGAAATTGATGTACATTTCAGAAACCTAATTTTAATGACACTAACTAATTTTAATGAAGCTACTATTGCTCTACGGCTCAAGAAGCCAGGCTGCCTCAAGAGGCTGTGTTAACACACAGAACAGTAAGGACTGGACTTTAAAAATAGTAGGTACACTTTTGCCCTTGTATATTGCACATAATTTATCAGTAGAAATAAAACAGTTTTAGAACGGCTGTAGGAACAGCTTTACACTGATCACACCCGATCTGCACTAAACAGAGGGGTAACAGGGATTCATACCTCTGCAAACCCTGAACCCCAAAATGATTGAAAAGGCTCTGACTGTAACGTAAGGAAGTCTAACAGCTGGTCATTATCAGCCAAATTAGTTCTGAAAGCTGTACACTACTGTTTACGTTCCATTCTTTCCCCTAACCCACCGCCTACGCCAATAGCTTACCAACATTAAGAAAAGCAATGGTTGCGAGTGAGCTATCCCTTACTTTGCACCTCTGTCAAATGTTAAGGACGTTCCCTAAGGAGCAGAAAAGCCCCACAGCTTTACTTAGCTTCAATTAGAATGTTAAGTGTAACCTCGAACCCACACACCCCTGTTTGACAAAGACCAAATTCCTAACCACTGAAATGACTAAACTGATACCAGCTAAACCCCTCTAATAAGCAACCTAGTTATGTATTTCCAGTTGAAATTCTTCCTTTTAAGTTTCCTCAGAGTTTCTTCATTAAGGAGAATTCCTCTAGAAGAGTTTGCTGCAGAAGTTGCTGCTGCATCATACTGACCACTTGAAAGTAATTCACTGAACCTAAAAAGAGAAAGGAAAAAAATAAGAATATGATCTATTGCAGGAATACTAAATAAATACACCCGTATATATGTAAAAGGTTGGTTGATGGGGTAGTGATCTACCCAAGAATCTCAAACACTAAAAATATAAACCTTTAAAAGACATACATTTAAACCTGCAGCACTTGGCACTTGGCAGTAAGAAGCAGCAACTTGGCAGTAAGAAGCAGCAACTTTGTTTCCCCACGCATCTGATTACCTTTCTGCTGCCTCACTACCTAGCACCTTGGACGGTGTCCGCAAGAACTGGAAAGGTACTACTCAAAGGGTAGTCCAGCTATTATTAAAGTAGATGCTTCCATACAAAATACTACATGATGCAGTGCAAAGTAGAGGCACAATCTTGCTTCACATATTTGAATCTTTCTGTCTAGCTGAGCAAGGTATTTAGAAAGAAAATCCAAGCTGAGCAATTCTTCTATACTGAGACCTGAAGGAGAAGAAAATGCCTTTAACGAGCTCCTGACTGCTCTGTTGCGAGTCTCCTCCAGGTCCTTCTTTTGAGATACAGTCCTACTATATCCCTTTCGGATCACCTCAAGTCACAAGACGCAAGAGAGAGAGAGGTCTAATGATATTCTCTATTTTGTCTGCTGTTTCTTTCCTAACAGTTCCTTATATCTGATTTGCTTTTCTGACTGCTGTCAAGTGCTGAGCTGACATTCAGTCTCGTAAGATTCTCCTGCATTTCTTCACACTTGGCTCTTACCCTTGCCATCCTGAATACCTCAGTACCATCAGCAAAGATGACATCCTTTTCTAGAGCATGTATTGGCATGCCAAATCTAGATCATGTATTGGCATGCCAAACAGTATAGGTCTCCCGCCCCCAATAGGAAAACTGACCTCTTACTCATACTCTCCATTTCCTATCTTTTAAATATTTATTTATCCAGGCAAAGATTTTCCGTCTTATCCTACGGCTGCCTAATTTCCTTCAAAGACTTTCCTGAAGACTTTTGAAAATTCAGACAGATTGTATCACTTATGTCACCCTATCCACATTCTTGCAGGCCCCTTTGAAAGGACTCTAACTGATGTGCAAAGCAGGACTTCCCTTAACAAAGGCCATAGTCACACTTTGCAAGTAAACTGTATTTCTCTGGGCACCTACACATTCTGTATTTCTTCCCAATTTTCTTAGTTTGTCCTGTTTGGATCTTAGTTTACAGATCTGTAATTCTCTGAATCTCTCCTGGAGTCCTTATTTCCAATGGGAATATTTGCCACCCTTCAGTCCTCCTGTAAGACTAGCAGAATATTAGATTTACCTGGGGTACGCTTAGCGGAATTTACTGTTTTCCCTAGGGTGTCAAAGTTTTTAGAGGGTGCCTTTCTTACATTTTGAATTCTCAGTATCAGATTTTGACTTTTTGTAGAAATCTTCTCAACAGCCTTTATCCTGAAAAAGGAAACAGTTCCTGGAGTTTTAGGTTTGTTCTTTTTTTTTTTTTTTCCCCCCCCTCTTCCTTTTTACACATCAGACTGCAAGAACATCAGGATGAAGGGTTGTTGAACTGGGCTTGCTGTCATACTGTTCTGCTGTTCTCAATAAAGCCTCTCCTCTACTTTGCTACATCATTCTATTTGAAACTGCGTATGGCAAGGTAACTGTCTCTTTTGAGACGCCTGTCACATAAATACGGCTATGTAACAATTCTTCCTAAATATAAGACTGTAAACTGAGGAAAAGAAAGTAATCCATTCTCTATCCTGTATTTCTCAACCCAATACAATGCATTTTAGCAACAAATGTTCATTTCAAGGCTATACTGTTTTTACAAGTGGAGAGAATCCACGTGTTTAACTCACAAGAAAAGCCTCCGCTGACTTTGACGGGACAAGAATTAGCACTGGGGTCTGATGAGCAGAAATCTAAAACCACACTTTAGCAACGGTTTACACAATCACTAGCAGCTTCCATTAAAAAAAAAAAAAACCACACACACATACACAAGAATAGAACCATTTAGAAAAATACAAGTGTGAGAACCCAGCTACAACTACATTATTTTATGTCCTAAGTAAAGCAATACATTTTGCTCTAAATGTTATTAGAGATAATTTACTTGCTTACTTGTCTTCAAACTCTACTGCTCTTTTCCTGTAGTATAACAGAGCTGTGGGCTCAGATGCCAGAACTTTTAATCTCCCACGAAGAAAAAAATGCGTTCTTTTGGTCATTCTTGATTGTGGCAATAAACGTCTCATACTCCTGCTTGCCTGAAATCAGGTTGTTCTTGTATGCAGCAACATAGGCTATTATCTGTAAATGTATTTTTGGATGCAATATTTATACTGAGATAATTAACAGGAAAAAAAAAACTTTCTGGAACTTTCTAATGGTTCACGATAGATTTAAGTAAAAAAACTAGGCAAAAATACTATTTCTCAGACCAAGCTCCATAGCACTGCTGGAGCTATGAGAAGCTCCAAAAAAGAAGCCGCCAAAACAACGAAATAACATTGTTTAAGCTGATGAAGATACAGAAAAGCTTTACATGGTGAAAGACAGGCTCCAAACTTCCTTTAGATTCAGTAATCACAAATGTTATTAAAACTAAGGCAATTGTCATTTATTTAGACAGCTGCAGAAACCATTCCCATGTAACAGAAGATATTTTCTCCAAACAGGCACCAGCTCTCCTTAGCACTTACAAGTGTGGAAAACCAAAGGAGCAAGACCTGTGCATTTTAATGGCTTAAAGTACCAGTCCAATTCAGGATTTAAAAGCACACCCGGTAGCCCTTATTCTTACCTATGTGGAAAATCAGCTGTGCAGGAATCAATCCCCCTCGCTTTTTTTTCCTTCCCTTCTTGGTATCCCCCATCTCCGTGGCTGAAAAAGGCAGAGAGAATCAAACAGGCCTTCAAAAGCTTCACCAATAACTCTTCAACCTAACTGAAGAGCAGTTAACATTAGTACAGAGGATATGGTGTTTATGTCCTGATCTTTTTAGTTAGCTTTATAATGTTTTACCATTTCAAAACTGCCATAAAATTAACAAAGGTGGTTATCAAGCACAAATCCTATTATAATATAACTGCCGCCGGTACGAAGTCATCATTATGGCTTCTATTTGGCTGCAGCATATGCAGGGGACATAAATGAAAAATGTTGGAGAACCTGTCACTCACCAAGCCTTGCTCCCTGTAACAACGCAAAAGGGCCACGATCAGCCTAACGGCTTATACCCTTTTTCCCAGGAGAAAAAGCAGCACCAAAGCACTCCTTATTTGTTAGTCTTGCCCACTGCTCGTTTACCTGGAAAATACTTGTTACCTTGTCAAATGCATCTCCGCGTATAGTGTAATACTCCTCAGGTGGTCCTTGCTCAGTACAACCCACTTTCTCTATTTCACTCAGTATTATATCTTTGTATGCTCTCCAGAAATCTCCTCTTTCTCAAAAACAGCTGGGGCCAAGACAGCATGTTTATCTCCTCCAGTGCAACGGTTTGGCATAGCTGCCTAGGACCTCCTTTCCTTACAGGAAGCATAAGCCTCTTCCCTCCTTTCTTCAATAGGTGCCCCAAATAAAAACTTAGAATAAAAACTGAAATCATTATAAAAGCACCAGCTAGCACTCATGTATTCAAGCAGCGGTCTTCATCCACTCTGCTTTAGCCCTTTCCCTAAAGCATGCAACTCACAAACAAGAAGACATCTCCTAACAAACTATCTCCAAATTCAGGTAAACCTCAGTGCTGTTCTGCTCCTAACTTACCGATGGCTTTCCCAATTCTAAGGTATTTACTCTGAAAATTCAGAGACGCTTGGCCTTGATCGTGGGGGGATCCGCAGCCGGCACGGGGCCGCGGGCGCAGGCAAAGCTTTAAGCCGCCTCCCAGAGGCCTGAGCCCGGGCTGCCTGAGGGCAACCACCTCCCGCAGAAACGAGGCGGGGCGAAAAGCC